TGTTAAAAAAATGATTTCTCTGTCAATTCTAACATTGAATGGCATATTGTTTACAGGTGGAACGCTCCTGTTCTGGTCAATTATGTACAGAAAAAAGTTACATGGCAGCAATAGAGAGGTGTAAATTTTCCAGCAAAATATTTTCCATTACGCTCCTCGTGACCCTTAGGGACCTCACGAGGAGGAAGGGGGATGTCGCGACTATAACTACATTGTTTTAGTTCAATTTGTACGCTTTACGTACCTATGATTGACATCATGTGATAATGACGTGAATCGAGACCTCGTGGTGTTGTTTTTGATGTTTTTTTGGTTTTGGTTTTAGTCGCCATTTTTGTTTAATGTAAAGTTTCGTTTGGAATCAAATACAGTTCTCACACATCAAAGAATGTTTGGTCAGTGTAGTGATCACTTTAGGTTACAGGGGACGTTGGAGGATTTTGAATGTGTAACAATAAAATGCACTTGATTCCCCTCCCAAAGTCTCTGTAATATTTGATAATCTTCTCCCATTGGAAGTCAGTCTCCTGTAGTCTCTTTTTTTTAGCGACGACTGATCCTGTAAAATATGCGATCGCCTCCCCCCCAGAATCCTCTGACCCCTCCCCCCGGCAAGATACAATGACTGGTCCGTTAGTTAACTTACCTCCTCACTCTGCTCAACAAAGTTACACAGACTTGCAGGAAAGGGCTGCTGAGGCCACATGCTGATTTCTAGAAGCTCTCTTGCCTCCCTTTCACGCTTCTTCCGTGCTCTTTCTGCTCGTATTTCCCGCTCTTTTCTTTCAACTTTCCGAGCAAACGCTTCTCTTTCTCTCTCCCTTGACACTCTTCCCACCCGTTGTTCCAAATCAAGCAAAGAGCTGTCATAGTTTCTGTTCGTCACTGAGCCACCAGATGGACCAAAACGTTGGTAAGAATTTTCTTCAGCATTGGCAACAACACTTCTCTGTTTACGACAAGAGCAAAAAGATCACTTCTTTAGTACAATGCACTACTATCAGAGCTCCTCCTTTCAAATCTACCCATAACGTTGCTACTTTACCCGACTGGCGCTAACAGACTACCTCTGTCCTTTTTGGAATCACAAAATCAAACAACTTCAAAATTGCAAAAATTACTTCCTGAAAGCTAGGTTTAACCAACAGCAGTGACATCAACGTGACATCAACACTGACATCAACACGTGACATCAGCACGTGACATCAACACTTGACATTAACACTGACATCAACACTGTGACATCAACGTTGCTGAATACTGATAAGCATTATTACTAACTAGTGAGCTGGGCAGGGATAAAGACTTACAAGTATCGCTGTCGGTCACATCTGCCGCAGATGGTGTCTCCTACGAACTGAAAAAAGGGAAAAATAGCGTACAGCCATGGGCAAATGGGGGACGCTAAATTGACCAATCAGAGCGCGCGCTTTACTTTGGTTATGTTATAATCACATCTTTTGTCATTTGTTATTTATATGCATGTAGATGACCACCAATGTGTTCATACTGTGGGCGTATAATGAAATCGACGATGCACGTGACCCAAACAGCTTCAGCAAACATTCACGTAAGGGGTACAGTAGTAGACCTCATAGAATCGCGGTCGAAACTATTCCTACAGTCGATGTTTCAAGTGAAGAAAGAACGAATTTCAAAACATTTCACCTGAGCACGCAGCCTCTCGCAACACTAAAACCGGCAAAAGCCTTAGGACTTCAACCAAACTTAAGCATCAGGACCATTGCAATGGTCATCACTCTGTACCTCTTGGTTCAACTGGTATTCAAGTAAGTTAGGATTTGTTGCAGGGAGCCGCCAAGAGGTTAAGAAATCTTTCCAGCGTAATTTTTGTGTGCGAATACAACTCACCTTTGCTAACATTTTACGACTTTGAAATCATGAAAAAGAACGATTCAAGCGGGTCATGATTATTTTGAATTAGAAGGAAACCAAGTCCAGACAGGTTTCCATCCGCAAACTGGCTTATGTCTAATATTCACAATTTGTTGCGTTATTTTTATCACGCGGATGAAATTATTTACAATCTAAGGTGTTTCCATTTAAAAATTTTAATAACAACCAGGCTTATCTGGCAATTTACGAGAAGTCATCGGTTTGTTTCTTCTTTATCCAAATTTTGTTTTACCACTACAATCTTCAACTTGTTATTTTAATAATAAATAGAGAGAAAAGTAGTGGTATTTTCATCGTTTCTTTATTCCTAAATGTAAGCCTTAGTTAGAAATTTGGAATAAGGAGGGAATATCAAGCACAGACCGTGATCTTGATGCCTGAGCGTGCCGGGATATTTGAGAGAGAAATAAATGCTGGAACAATCACAAGTGCATCATCAATAAGCACTGAATGCTGGTTGTTGTTTCCTTCCGATCAACCAGAGGCAGTGATAATTTATAAAACACGTATCCAGCTGTTTTTAAAAATCAAATTTCAATAAGAAACATGTCTCTAATAGGGCTCCTTCAAAACAGAAGTTCCTTTTCATATGTTGAGATGGTTTGCTATTTGGGTCTCCGTTGATCACAGGGAATCAGTATGGAATCTGTCTGGCGATACTACTTATACTCTTAATATAATTTTAACAACTCCAGGTTTTCCTGAATGTCTTTCTTTGCTTCATGTAGATAGTTACGAAAAAAATTCATCTCCTGCGAAAATTGAAATGCTGAGTTGCAGTTAATTTTTTTCCTCCATTAGATCTAGAAATAGGCCATTTTACAGTTGTGTACTTAGTTGCGAAGCCTTTGATTCAGAGTGAGGCTGAAGGTGACCTTGTTGTGATAGAGACCTGTATCTACTTAGCATGATAACAAAGTGATTTACATTTGAAAGGCAGCAAGGTTTGTATCATAACAAGGTCAACCTTAGCCTCACTNCATAGATCGTCTTCTTCCGGCATCAAGCTGTATCTAAACTAATACTTTTTTGAATGTTTCTTAAGAAAACCATAGTCGTGTATAGGTAATAATAAAAAGTCAAGATTAAAGAAAAAAATTACTCGATTTTCCAACTGTATGCAATCATGCTCGCTGATCAGATTTGAAAGCCTACATACAAAAATTTCTTTTCTTTTTATTAAGAAAATGCGACATACCTAAAAACTATTGCGTGCGCGGTCTGATGTTAGCCCATCGAAACCTAACAGCACTGGGGGATTCCCCAATAAACACAGATATCGCCCCTTTTCCAAATTATAGTTATATCATTTCAGTATCAAATCCTAGCGGAAAACCAAAATAAACAAGACAAGTGCGTCTGGAACAGTCGTAGAATGGTTCCAATTGAAATACAATGCCTTTGTATTTTGATGTCAAGTCGTTGCTTTTTTTTTTTCATCAAAACGAGCATTCGACCTGACATCATGCCGTAACTGTTCGTATAAAAGAAATTTTATATCTTTTTTTTTTGGACACTTATTTACACATCGATGAGAGTCCATAGACTGTACACTCATTAGCAGGAATAAATAATTCTCAAAACTGTTCATGTTATTCATTCATGGTTTTCAAATGAGTTTATCGTGGGTAATGGAGTGATCCTTTGCTTTCCATAAAAGGCAACACTATTATTTCAAAAATAATAAAGAAATAGAAAAATGGCGAAATGCATGTAACAATGAGTTTTTGTAGTCTTCAGTACCCTCCAACATCTGAAACGAATTTTTGGTAATTGTCTTACTTTCGATTTGATAAGAAAGGAAATATGCCTCAGATATACAGGATCAGGCTGTGTCAAGAGAAAAAAAAACAAAACAAAACAAAACAAAACAAAGCTAAAAATAACGGTGTGTAAAAATTACAATGATTTTGAAAAGTTGTGTCTCGTATTTTGTGATCTATTTCTGTCCTAATAAATCGACTATGACATGACTGGAACAATCATTAATCAAGTATACAGGGTCAATTTTGTCTAGATAGAGAAATGACCATGTGAAAAGAAGTCTCTGTCACAAAAGAACTCTATACAAATCGTGGATTCTAACGCAAACACATCTCTTTACAGCTATTCTGGAAAACATATGTCTGATGACCGATGTTAAAGGTTAATTGTCACAATAAAGATAACCGAAACGGTTTTCGAAAGTTTTACAGTTGTACGACTATAAAGTATTCCTTAAAATACATTTTTGCCATATATGGAATTATTTTTTGCACCAAACTTATGTGATCAATTTGTCTGGGTTTTCCGTTTTTATGTCACAGTCATTAACTTCAAGCTCGGTTAATTGCTCATTGAACGCACTTCCCGCCCCAGCCGACCTGCTACAAACCCCAGATAAGCAATACTTTATTCGATCGTTCTTACATCGAGTTTCTGCCCCCATCCCCGTGACTTCGTTAGGGCGTCAGCCAATGTTATTATTGTAAACTGCAGTTGCGAACGCAAGCCAAGGTCTGTCCGGTAAAGTGGCTGGCCGCGAATGACTCTGTCAGTCTGTCAGCTTCATTTCCCATGATATATGTACTTGTAGCGTGGGAACCAGGAATGTACAAACAGAAAATAAAGTAGAAAAATTTTAAGTGGTTGAATATAGTCGTCTTAAGATCCGAAAGAAGTTTCACACGTGTTGGTAAAAAAATTGAAGTTTGCAATCAAAGCGCGTTAAGGAAATTTACTCTCAAGGCTACTCAAGGTCACTTCCGCTTTACCTTGTAAACACCTATGCAGCTGCATCTAGGGTCAAATTTTTTCCTGCTACGTTGAAACGACTTTTTGGTAATTATTCTTACCGTCCGATGTGATAAGAAAGGAAATATGCGTCATATAGCTGGATGGGACTGTACCAAAAAAAAAAAAACAGAACAAAACAAAACAAAGCTAAACATAACGGTGTGTAAAAATTACAATGATTTTGAAAAGTTGTGTCTTGAATTTTGTGATCCATTGCTATCTTAATAAACCGACTATGACATGACTGGAACAATCATTTTCAAGTATACAGGGTCAATTTTGTCTAGAGAAATGACCATGTGAAAAAAAGTCTCTGTCACAAAAGAACTCTATACAAATCATGCATTCTAACGCAAATACATCTCTTTACAGTTATTCTAGAAAACATGTATCTTATGAACGATGTTAAATGTTAATTGTCACAACAAAGATAACCGAAACGCATTTCGAAAGTTTTATAGCTGTACGACTATAAAGTATTCCTTAAAATACATTTTTGCCATATATGGAATTATCTTTTGTACCAAACTTATGTGATCAATTTGTATGGGTTTACGTTTTTATGTCACAGTCATTAACTTCAAGCTCGGTTAATTGCTCATTGAACGCACTTCCCGCCCCAGCCGACCTGTTACAAACCCCAGATAAGCAATGCTTTATTCGATCGTTCTTACATCGAGTTTCTGCCCCCATCCCCGTGACTTCGTTAGGGCGTCAGCCAATGTTATTATTGTAAACTGCAGTTGCGAACGCAAGCCAAGGTCTGTCCGGTAAAGTGGCTGGCCGCGAATGACTCTGTCAGTCTGTTAGCTTCGTTTCCCATGAAACATGTACTTGTAGCGTGGGAAACCAGGAATGTACAAACAGAAAGTAAAGTAGAAAAATTTTAAGTGGTTGAATATAGTCTTCTTAAGATCCGAAAGAAGTTTCACACGCGTTGATCAAAACATCGAAGTTTGCAATCGTAATTTGCAATGTTTATTTACTCTCAAGGCTACTCAAGGTCACTTCCGCTTTACTTTTGTTAATTAGGTGTTGCAACAGATGAATCTCGTGTTATTTTCACAGTGCGCGCCCTGACCGCGTTTGAAACAATTGCTAATTTTCGAGAAAAGGGAAAACCAATATGTTAATGGTAGGAAACATCTACACATCCTTTGCTTCCGGAAATGATCTCTTCTAAAACTGACGCATTTCATCAAATAAGTTATAAACAAAGCGAAGCCTTCGTACAACTATTACTAAGTCATAATAAGGAAGAAATTATGAATTTTTCGCTCGTAAACAATCACGCACGGGGTTTTATCGGTTTGGAAAGCCTATGTGCAAATTTGGCGGATAAATACGTCTTAGCCTCCCGTGGAAGGAGCGGATCACTTACACAGTTGTGAAAATCTGAACAATAATCATCAATTTGAATTGACGCATGACTAGTTCTACTAGCTAAACAGTGCGAAGCAAAAAAAAAAAAAAATTCCTTCCCACCTCAAGATTCTCTCAAACTAGGATTTAAAGAGCTCAGGATAGTTTGACTGTCGCATCACTTTTTCCTTAATCGAAACCACTATCTTACAACTGCAGATTTACATATTATGCCTCATATGTTCGTATAACAAAATTATTCGATGCTCACTTGGACAGCTATTTACACATCAGTGTGTTAGTAGATTCGATTGTAGCAGGATTAATTTATTCTTAGAATGATTCATTCAGTACTGGTGCACTACCTTACTCTCCCCAAGAGGCGGCACTAACATTTTAAAAAATATCCCCTGTCTGACCCTAATTGTTCAATAAATTACTAACCGTTGATCAGCTCGAGGATAACTCCTAGATGTTTCGAGCCATTATTCAAGGTGCCGTCTAACTTTACAAAAATGTGTAAGAGTAGTTTCGGCGACTTGATGGTTCTGATTACGCAAATCAGGTCAGTTCTCTATTTTACTGTTCCGGGTATGCAAATAACCCAGTCCGGAGTAAGCAGATTGGTTCTTGAAAATATCGACAAGTTAATGACACGTGTCATGCATATTCACGTCCTCAATTAATCTGGCTTTAAAACAATAGCAGAGTCAAAGTTTTTGTCACTTGCCATCTCATGCTTGAGGTAGTAAGGTAAGGAGAGTTTCAAGATCGCACTCCTTTTCTTTCACATAATGATCTCGTGTATGCTGTAAGATTGAGTTTTTGTGACATCTAGCCTGAAAGGAAATTGTTTTACTCATTGTTCTACCAACATGCGACTTAGCTTCAAGTTTTTCTTGAATGATACGCGCCTCTAGAGTCGATTCTTCGATGCATTTCTTATTGATTTTCATTTATTCATTTTCAACTGTCAATTACTTTCGCCTCAAACCCTCATTTACATCGCCGAGAAACTATCAGTTGGGGCTCTTTCAACTCAAATAATTTATCGCATTGATGCGTTTTCGTTTTATCCTTGGCATATATGCATTCCTATAAATAGTTACGAATTTGGAAAGAGAAAAACAAATGCAGCCATGTTCTTGGGTTTTTCGAGTTCAAAACGTTAACTCAGGAATCGCTTACTAAAAACTGAGACATTTCACAAGCGAGTGACAACAATCTAGTGTTTTATGTCCACTTTGGTAACTAAATTATCTGTTGAAAGATCAGTAACTTATGTAATCATATGCTATACGGAGTCACAAAATGAGTAACTTGCATATGTGATATTCACACTACTCGATAAGCAAATTGCATAATGGCGTCCGATCCAATAATACGGGGATTCCCCAGACGCCAGTTCACTATTTTTATTTAGCGCTGATATCATCTCAGCAACAATCCTTGCGAGAAACCAAAACCATAACCATTGCCGGTCCATTTAAGTAACCTCAGAACAGTCTTGGAACTTCTGAATTATAGTGTGCAAAACCTCTAGCATTTCCTAAGTTTTCTTCTGGTGAACCTTTTCTTCGTGATTTGACTACCTAACATATACACTTTATGCCTTTACTGTTCATATATACGAAATTATTTCATCATCTTTTCTTAAACAGCTATTTACCCATGATAGACCACTTAAAACTTGCA